GATCATGTGGGTGGCCCTCCTCTGGACCCTCTCAATGTTGTCCACATCCCTCTTGAAGTGGGGTGCCCAGAACTGGACACAGTACTCCAGCTGCGGCCTGACCAGTGTTGCGTAGAGGGGGAGGATCACCTCCTTGGACCTACTTGAGATGCACCTGTGGATGCACGATAGGGTCCGGTTAGCCCTGTCGACCGTGACCTTGCAGTGTCGGCCCATGTTCATCTTGGAGTCAATGACGACTCCAAGATCCCTTTCTGCCTCTGTGCTCTCAAGAAGGGAGTTTCCCATCTTATAAGTGTGCTGCTGGTTGTTACTGCCCAAGTGCAGCACCCTGCACTTGTCAGTATTGAAACACATCCTGTTTTTGTTAGCCCACCCCTGCAACCTATCCAGGTCTTTCTGCAGTCTTTCCCTCCCTGCTAACGTGCCCACCTCACCCCAAATTTTGGTATCGTCAGCAAATATGAACAGGTTGCTTTTCACCCCGTCGTCCAAATCGCTGATAAAGAAATTCAACAGTGCGGGCCCAAGGACCGAGCCCTGGGGGATTCCGCCACCCACTTCCCCCCAGGTCGAATATGACCCGTCCACCACCACCCTCTGAGTTTGACCCTTCAGCCAACTCCAGCTGGAGCAGTGCAGGGAGCATTTCCTGGGGGTCACAGGTTAACCCCTCTAGGGCCAGATGTGGCCTGCAGGCCACCAATTGGACAGCCCTGGCATGTATGACAGCAGTTTGTACATTGCGCCTTAGCCTTAATTTATATTCTTTCATTACATCTGATCTTTTCTTCTAATTCTGCTGCTGTGGTAAAAGTTCACTGTACCTCTTTGCAATTAAACAACTTCCCCTTCCCACCAGCCATAGAATCAGAGCTTGAAATTTAAAAGACAGTATGGACATGAGATTTGATTTTATTTATTTTTTTTTTAATTAGAAAAAAGGAGTCGTGATATCAATTTTTATTTTAGACCCTCATTCAACAAAACACTTAAAGCATATGTTTAAACCCATCTTTTGTCAGAAAACTATTTACGCCTGGACTTGCATCATTTGCCATATCAGGACCTTAACCAAAGCAGAGTGGAAAGTATGTTGCAGGGGTGTCAAACCCTTCTAGCCCTGCTAGCCAGACGAGGGGCACAGGGCAGGTCTGCAGTCTGGACCAGGCCCACAGACTGGCCACGTGCTGGATTCAGCCCACAGGGCTGGTCCAGTGCTAACTCTGCAAATAGCATGTGCCCTAGACCAGCCATGATGTGATAGCTTTGCTAGCAATGTGTTTGCAGATTTTGCCTTGCATGCTTTATGCAGTGTATGCCAGCCCTACTCATGGCACGCCACATTTGGTGCCAGTCTGGGGCTCACACTAGATACAGCACTTGTCTGGGGTGTGCTGCATTTAGTACCCATATTGGACCAGCCTGCACATTAGATCTGGCCTGTGGGGCTGGTCTATGATTCTGATCTAGACCAGCTCCAGATCCAGTGTGAAGGGCTTTTCTGGTGTAAGTGCCGCTTACAGCACATGCCCAAGACTGATATTACATATAGCGCACAGCACCAGTCCATTTCATGGTCTGCATATGGTGCCCACACCGGACCAGCCCTGCATCCTGGATCCCAACATGGGGGCCCTCTGTGGCCCTGGTCCAAAGCGGCCCCAGATCCAGCATGCAAGGCTGCTTCAACATGCATCCCAGACCAGCCTTGTTCAGCCTGTGTCAGATGGGTTCTGCATACCACATGCCTCGGCCTCAGCCAGGGCATATAGCAGGCAGCACTGTGGGTCAGGCAGTATGGTTGTGCAGGCCAGATCTTGGTCCCCCAGTATATTGCATTCACTTGTGGACTCCTGTTTTGCACATATATAAATAATGTTACTCTTCTGTGGTCAAAGTCTCAAGTGCTTTCACATCTTGGTTGCAAATACTGCTTTAACATTTATACAGCATAAAATAGCAGTCATTGCTGTCAGCTAAATGCTATGGTTTTTGCTCTCGAGTGCCAGAAGATAAGCAATGTACTTACCCTTTCTTTTTTTTTCTCAGTTTTTCTGCTGAAGTTAGTCACTACATTGTAGCAGCAGGGTGAATGTTATTTAATTACTAATATACTATGTGTTTTTATTTCTTTGTTTAAACATTTTCTTTTACGTGCAGTATAGAAAAAAGACTTTGTGAATAGAGTGCAATCCAACCCCATGTGCGTTTTGAGGATAACAAGATTAATGCACATCATCTGAAGTGTTTAATAAAATAACCACAATAATTCTTGTTGTTTAGTTGCAGGACCTGCATTGCCTCCAGGCTACAAAAGCAGCTGCAGCTCAGAAACGTCTAACAGTGATGAAGACCCAGAGTTTCTTCCTTTGCTCAGAGAGATGGATAGAGATTCTGAAGAGCCAGACACAGATCCAGCACCCAAGTCAGTCTGTTTGTTGTTCATTCACAAATGTATGTGGTCAGACTAAGCATAAATTGGACTGCTCAATAGGATAAACTGGCTGGAATAGCACAGATGCAGAATCTCGGAAAAGGGACTAAATTATTCAACTAAGGGAAGTAGAAGTCAGCCTCAAGATAACATTTCCTGGCAGTCATCACTTCTCCTGGTTGTCTGCGTGAGCTGTGCATAAGTTTCTTGCACTTGGATCTGGAATTTATGTTGTGAAGCCACTTAACATTTAGAATACATTTTTCATTTGCTGAAATACACTGGAGACGTGCATGCTAGTTGCATTATTAGAAATCTGAAAATTAGTATTCAGTGAATTCATCTTCCAGAGTACTTTAGTTCATTCACCCTGTCAGCATTAAAAAAATTCACAAAAGATAAGTTGTATGGCTACTATCAAAGCAGCTATGAAGGGTCTATTCATGGAAGTACTAGATTGTGTTTTGGTAGACTCCGTCTTTGCTAGCAATGAGATGTCTTTCATATTTTTTTTTCTGACTTGAATGGGCTGGAATTCTGAGAGAGCCATCTTCTAATATACATGTTTATTAAGAAGCCTGGGGAGTAGGAATGTAAGTGTGAAACTAAAGAATTATGCCAGAATGTTCACACTTGCATACCTAAAGTTAGGCTCCTAAATCTCATAGTCTTTTGGGGGCTTTATATTAAAATCCTGATTTTTGTCACAGGGGCTAGAGGGTGCTTTTCAGGGATCACGTGCAGGAGGGGCCTAAAGTGAATAATCCTTTGGATCCTCTTGGACACAACATGGCTGCCTGTGATTGCAGGGAACTAGACACTGACCCAGCTGGTCCCTTGTAACCCCATGTTCGCAATCACTGTTTTGGCATTTAGACAAAAGTCACCAGTCTTCAGAAATGCTGAACACCCACAGTTCGTACTGACATCACTTATAGCTAGAGGTGTTTAGCATGTTAGAAAATTGAAGCACTTCTTCAAGCATGCAGATTTGAAAACATTAGCATATATATATATAAATATAAAAATAGTGGGGTATGCTGCACTTGTTTTTGGAACAGGACAATAGTGCCAAAATACAAGAACATTCAGATAATAGATCAAAACTAAGTTTTCAGTGCATACATGGGAGAAATTACAAGGGGTGCACCAATAGAGATTTTGAGGTCCGGTACCAATAGCCCATTTTTAAGGAGGCATATTGGCCAATACTGATCTGATTTCTGATACTGCATGCAGCTGGTAAGTCTGTTGTGTTGGAAGGAGATGGGGGAGGGGCATGGAGGGAGGGCAGATCAAGGCCCCTGTAGTGAGGGAGGGAGTGGGGCACAGGCTGGGGCAGGGTGCGGGACAGAGCCACAGCTCATCCGGGGCACATGAGATAGGGGGAGGCTCCCGCTGCTGCATGCACCCAAGGAGGGCGGGTGGGGGCATGTGACCCCGAATCTGCGCGGGGCACAGGCAGGATGGGCTGCAGCTGTGGGCGGAGGCCAAGGCTGTGCAGGACTCTTCCTAGCAGGAGGCGGGGCTGGGCTGTGCTCGGGGCAGGTGGTGGCAGTGCTGGGAGGAGGGCTACAGGGGAGCTGCAACCACCCCACATTTCACCATAGTCCTCCATAGCCCCCCTCCGCACCCCAGCGCTGGCACCACAGCCTGTCCGGAGTGGAGCCCCAGTTCAACACTCCCCCACACACGTGCCGGGAAGAGCCCTGTGCAGCCTTAGCTGGCAGCTGCAGCCCACCTTGCCTGCGCCCTGCACGGATCCAGGGGCACATGTCCCATCCCCCGCACCCCTCCCCCAGTGCCCTCCCAGGGTGTGTGCAGTAGCAGGAGTCACAGCACCATGACCCCGCCACCCCCACCCGTGCTCCCCAGAAGAGCCGCAGCTATGTCCCATGCCCTGCCCTGCCCCAGCTGGGCAGCACCTGTCCCAACCCCTGCCCCACTTCCTCCCTCACAGCAGGGGGTGTTGATCTGTCATCCCCCACCCTATGCCCCTTCCCTCCCCCCCTCCCCTTCCCCCACAAGAGACTTACCAGCTGCACACAGCTCTCCAAGCTGCTGGGCTGTGCTCCTCGCTGCCTGCATGCTGTGCTACGGCTGCACACATGCACAGGCATTTATCAGCCAAGCTATTGGCTACATCAGGCCAGTTTCTGATGCAATCAATTTTCTTTATAATGGTGACAATCCAGTATCGGACCAATAGATTGGTGCATCTCTAAAAAAAAAAATTACCTTAGTAATGACAGGAACAGTCAGTCTTCAATGCCCAGTATGTACTTGGGACCTGGTGCAACTCAGATTGAAGTCAGTTAGAGCAGTAAGAGGGTGCAGTCTACAGTTGAAGTGCCATCTGTGGGCATATTCTAAATGTTTAAGATGAACATAATAGGGAGAACTTGACCCTTTTTTGACTCTTATCTGTTTA